TGCATAGGAGTTCCATGACTGCTTTTAGTTCCGCGACAGCCCTTGCCGGAAGGTTTTCGGGAAGGAACTTCAGGATATCTTCCTGCGCGAGGAAACAGTGGAGACCAAAGGGGAGCGGTGAACATGTCCGTGCTATGTCCTCCAGGGGGGTGGGGCCGAAACGTCTTGCAGCTCTTTGTGCCTGCAGAGCCTGGAGGTAAGGTGATGGTTTCATGGCGCCAACGCCTCCATGCTTTCGTGAGTTGTACAGAATTCGGTCTGGGATGAATCTCATGGCCATGCCTTCTTCTTTGTATTTGGAAGCAGACAGGAAGTTACCCACTACCATGTCCAATTGTTTGGTTGCCTTTTTAGGGGGAGGTTGAAACCGTCCACCGTAGCCGAAGAGAGACACGAGACGTTCAGAAGAGAGGGCAGAGCGACAGGTGGATCTGGCGTGAAGCTTAGCAAGCAGGGAGGCGGTTCCCCTAACTTTGGTGAGAATTTTTCCCATGTGGTGGCACCGGGGGTGTCACTCTGAATGTAAACGCCCAGGATCCTTTCTGCCTCATTGGGTTGACGGATTGGGGTAGGGCAGGCTGGAGGTAGTGTAGCTGCCGGAATGTTCACCAGATGAATAGAGCATTTAGCCCAGTTAGCTTGTTCGCCAGACACTTCAGCGAAGGATTGTAAGTGTTGCATTGTCGCTTTGAGTTCTTCACCAGAGTTTAGAAACAAAGTCATGTCATCGGCATAGCATGCTGCCAACCGGCATTGAGCGGGTGCGAAGGTAAAGCCGGGAAGGTAGACAGAGAGATGGCGATGTAGTACTTCAATGATGCAGATGAAGAGGAGGGGGGCCAGGGGGCATCCTTGACGAACACCCGTGAGTACTGGAATGGGGCGGCCGGCCAGGTTGTTTACAAGGACCTGAGTGCGTGCACCGTTATGCATGAGTTTTACCCAGGCAATGAAAGGTGGTAGAATTCCGAGGTGGGCGAGGCATTTGTACATGAACTCGCGGTCAACCATGTCGAATGCCTTTTTTATGTCTACGGTGAGCATAAACAGTGGTAGCTTTTTTGCTTCGGCCCATTCCATGGGGTCGAGCGAGTCGTTGATGGTATCACCGATTCTTCGCCCTTTGATGAAGGCGGACTGCGCGGGGTGAATAATGCGTCTGAGGGTAAGTTGAAGACGTTTTGCTAGGCATATTGCAGGTATCTTATAATCGGATATCATCAGCGTGATTGGGCGAAGATTCTCGACGAATGTCGCGTCTGCCTTTTTGGGGATGAGGACCGTGCGTCCCATCAACATGGATTGTGGCATGGACTGGTTGGTTTCAATCGAAGAGAAAAGGGAATGGAGGGCAGGGACTAGTGTGGCATAGTGTGATCGGTAAAAGTCCCCGGCGAGACCGTCGTGTCCCGGCGTCTTGCCCCGGGAGAGGGTTGCCATGGCTGCCTTGACTTCAGAGAGTGAGATCGGGGCCGAGATTCTGGTGCACGTGGGGGCAGGTAAAGTGGAAGGGTATATGTGGTCCCAAAAGGAAGTTGATGGGGTGTTACATTCACCTCCCTTGTACAGATTTTCATAGAACTCGGAACAATGGTCTGACATTGTATGTAAGTCGGATGTCAGCACACTGGTTGGAAGGGTGAGTTGGGTAACCAAAGCGGCTTTATTCCTGGTAGTGAGTCCTACAAGCAGCGAGGGCAGACCCATTTCTTTTGCTCCTTCCACTTTTAGTTTCGCCTTCATGGCTATGTCCGCTGCTTTGCACGCAATGTATTGTTCGAACTGTGTTGAAGCTTTGTTTAAGGCGGCCCGTGCTTCTATGTCTTGAGGGGTGCGGACCAGGTGGAGCTGGAGCCGACAGCTTTCATTTTGCAGGTGGGAAGTTGTCTTAGCCACCCTTAGTTTCTCCTGTTTAGAGTATTGCCGAAGGAAGGTACACAATATGTGTTTCCATGGATCCCAATTTTCCGGCATGAGCGGCGAGGGTAGTTGATTGCAAGCTTCTTGTACCAGCTGATGCGTAAAGGGACGCTGCGTGCGTGCATGTGGATTTTCAGGGTGAAGCGGCCGCCGGGTCCTCCGCCTGTCTTCAAGGCTCGTTACGTTGCTCAAGGCTTCAGTCAGCGTGAGAGAGTTGACTTCTTCCAGACCTTCTCCCCCACCCCGAAGATGACCACTCTTCGGGTACTGCTGCACGTTGCCGCTCAGCGTGACTACGAGCTTCACTCTCTTGACTTCAGCACAGCCTTCTTAAAGGGCAGTCTGCACGAGGAGATCTGGCTGCGCCGCCCACCTGGCTTCACTGGGTCGTTCCCTCCTGGTACCCAGTGGAGCCTTCGGCGGCCAGTCTATGGTCTCCGTCAGGCGCCACGTGACTGGCACGACACACTGAGGACGACTGTTGCGGCTCTTGGGTTTGCCCTGTCGACTGCTGACCCGTCGCTGTTTCTGCGCACCGACACTTCGCTGCCGCCGTTCTACATCCTCGTGTACGTCGACGACCTCGTCTTTGCCACTGCTGACACTGAGGCTCTCGCCCTGGTGAAGTCGGAGCTGCAGAAGAGACACAGGTGCACAGACCTGGGTGAGCTGCGCAGCTACCTTGGCTTGCAGATCACCCGGGACAGAGCACGCCGCACCATCACACTGACTCAGTCACACATGGTGCAGCAGGTCCTTCAGCGCTTCGGCTTCACCTGGTCCTCAGCACAGGCCACTCCTCTGGCTACAGGTCACTCGCTCTCAGCTCCACCTTCGGACGAGTCCGTAGAGCCGAGTGGTCCTTACCCAGAGCTAGTGGGCTGCCTCATGTACCTGATGACCTGCACTCGTCCTGACCTTGCGTACCCTCTTGGCCTTCTGGCTCGCTACGTGGCTCCTGGTCGGCACCGAAAGGTGCACATGGATGCTGCTAAGAGGGTACTACGCTACTTGTGCAGTACATCGGGCATGGGGCTCGTGCTTGGAGGACGGGCTCGAGTTGTCCTCACTGGTCACTCGGACGCTTCTTGGGTTGACGACCAGGCTACGCAGCGGTCGTCACAGGGTTACACCTTCAGCCTTGGCTCTGGTTCAGTTTCCTGGCGTTCTACACGCTCGTCTTCAGTTCTCGGCTCCAGTTGTGAGGCTGAGATCTACGCCACAGCCATGGCTGCACAGGAGCTACGCTGGCTCACCTACCTGCTGACCGACTTGGGAGAGCAGCCTCGTTCTCCTCCAGTGCTGTACGTCGACAACAAGGCCGCCATTGCCTTGTGTCAGGAGCACAGACTGGAGCACAGAACGAAGCACATCGCTCTGCGTTACTTCCTTGCTCGAGAGTTGCAGCAGCGTGGCCAGCTTCGTCTTGCTCACGTGGCCACTCGGGCCAACACTGCTGATATATTCACCAAGGCACTTCCGCCTTGTGATCATCAGCGTTTCTGTACTTTGTTAGGCCTTGTACCCACGCTTCCTCACTTGCTGTAGGCTTTGTTTGTACTGTGATCTATATGTATACCTGCATGCTTGCTCTGGTAGGTAGAGATCACTGTGCTGTTGTTGTTACATATATATCTCTGCATGTGAACTTGCCTTGTGGCCTTTTGCTTGTCCTCAGACTGCGTGGTGACGTTGTGATCCACCCTGAGCTTGCTTTGCATTTCCTGACTGGTCTTGTGACCCTCTGTTCTCCCCCACTTTGCCTATGGGGGTGTGTCAAACATATATATATGTATATATGTTATAGTTTGGGTAGGCTTAGTGGGGTACTCACTGTGGGGTACAACCCCTTAGGTTTCTCCTTTGTACCAATCCTCTCGATTGTCAATTTCACTCATGCCTATACTCTAAGAGTAGGAGCGACGGGGGAGACGCAGGATCTCTCCAGCCGATGATTCGAAGTGAGGGACACGACCGGAGTGCGGAAACTGCGCAAGGCGGAGGCCAAGCCGAACAAGGTTCACAATCTTGCTGCAGTGAGATTCAGCAAGGCTGTCAGGAAAGATGATCGTAACAAGGTTAAGTGTATCTCAAACCAGCGATTCAACAACCACACCCACGATACCACGGTTGCGGCGCAGCCATTGATGCGGGCCGTTCAGTATAGGAAGTGGCGCGGAACTAATTTCTGCCGCGTTGAGCGTTATATCGTCGAACCCAGTATTGGGTTCAGGAGGCTGAACAGGCGCAGGCTGCGCAGAGGACGAGGCCTCACCGGTGCAAACCTTCTTGGCAAGGGGAGGTGAAGGGCCGTCATCCAGCAAGAGATCACTCACGGAGGGGATATAACCTCCGTTCTCAGCCATGACGGCGTCAAAAGCGTGGGGAGCGGACGTCATGGTGGGAGTGACGAGGAATAGCGATCTTTGAGGGTGCGTTAAGTAGTCCATGTGGTGGTTCCATGGCAACATCGCTCTGCTCAAGGGACCGCGAGAGGTTAGGTCCCAGTGCGATATGAAACGCGATTCGATTTGCAGGCAATGGCCTGATAATTTCAGAGACACCCCAACGGGGTCACGCTATCTCTCGAGGGAGAACAGACGTGAAAGCAAGAATTTCTTAGCAGTGAGTAAGCAGCTTGTGACGTTGAGGAGGAATAAGGACATGCAGAAGCCGATTCCGCCGCAAGGCTTGATTGTTGGTGACACCGGGACCGATGTTGACGAGACATTTTGCTCATAGAGCCTTGGTGACGCCAGCAAATGCCTGATCCAGCCATGGCTGGGCCGATACTGACGTGTGTTGCGAGAGTTGATCATGGCGACGCGTCGACCGACACCGCCATGCGGCATGAGAAGGAACGGGCAGTTCCATGGAAATTTGATGGGTCGAGAAAATCCATGCTGGCAAGGGCAAGCCACGGTGCGTGTATACGTCGGAATACGCGACTATGGAACGAGAAATCCATGCTGACAAGGGCAAGCCACGGTGCGTGTATACGTCGGAATACGCGACTATGGAACAAGAAATCCATGCTGACAAGGGCAAGCCACGGTGCGTGTATATGTCGGAATACGCGACTATGGAACGAGAAAATCCATGCTGAATATGGACGACTTGATGGGCACTTCAAACTCCTTCCAGAAATCCACCAGCGCTTTCAGTGCGGGATGGCGGACCTGGGAACGAGAATGGGACAGAGGTAGGCAGGAAATGCGAAACACAATAAGTCCTGCTATAGCCGCCCCTCCAAGCCTCTCTGCTGCTACAGGGCCAGTAGACGACGACTTGATGAGCACTTCAAACTCCTTCCATAAGTCAACCAGAGCCTTGAGAGCGGGGTGGCGAGCCTGGGAAAGGGAAAGGAAAAGGGAGAGGGGAAGGATAAGGGAGAGGGAAAGAAAATGTGTTACAGGGACGGTAGATGACACTAGTAGAGCATCCCAGGACTTCGGAGGGAGTATGCTTGGGAGGGGTTTGTTGGGGAGGGGTGTTGGGGAGTTGTGAGGGAGGAGGAGAAGCAGAGGTAGATGGGGCAGCACTGGCAGCAGGAGAGGCTGCACTTGCCGCAGGAGGGAGAGTACCAGAGGTAGTAGGAGGAGGAGCAGTTGTAGAAGCATGAGAAGCAGACGCATCAAGAGGAGCAGCAAGTGGTTGTGCTGATACCTCTGCTTTCACTCCATCATCTGATACATCTACTTCGTATGGTGGTGCTTCTCCCTGTGCTTCCACTTCTGCCTGTTGCGCTGCTTTCTGCTGAACGTGCGTCGCCGACTGTTGTGCATGTGCTTCGGCCTCTGTGTGCATCACCGCCTGTGCTTGTGCTGCCACTACCTCTGGCAAAACATGTGCTGTCGGACACCAAACCTTCTCTTTCTCACCCCCAACTTCCTCCCGTCCACTTACTTGCAGATTGGTTCCACAGCGCAGAGAAAGAGGTAAGGGGCCAGTGGGCACCCTTGCCTCACTCCTTTCTTCATCTCCACCCCTTCCCCAAGCCATCCGTTAATCAGGAGTGTGGTGGCTGCCCCCTCGTGGAGCCCTTTCACCCACCCCATGAAATTGTCGGAGAAACCCATACTCTCCAACAATTTTAACATCTAATTTCTCGACACCGAATCATATACTTTTTGGAAGTCCACCAGGAGCAGCAACCAGTCATCATCCCCTTCCGCCATTGCATCGATGACATCAGGTACCAGTGAGACAGCACACGCCAGACTTCTCCCTAAGAAAAAACCAAATTGGTTTGGCGAAAGCACCCATAGTAAGGCCGTTTTAATCCAGTTAGCCAGCACCTTCGCCAGTATTTTGTAGAACACACTCAGCAACGTAATCGTGCGGTAGTTTCCTAACTGCTCTCGGTCGCCTTTCTTGTGCAGGAGAATTGTAACCGCTGTTGCAAAGGCCTCAGGGAGCTTGGCCGAGCGTTTGAAGTCTCCGATCTGTCGCATCACATCTAGACCGAGGAGCTTCCAGTTGCGTTCAAAGAACTCCTTTGGCAAGCCATCTCCATTTGCATCCCTCCAGCACCTGCAAACGCTCCTTGTTGCTGTCATGGTAGAGCTTGAGAGCTCCTTCTCGCTTCACCAGCTTTTCGTATACATCCTGAGCCGAGGAATCGCTCATCACTCTCCACCTTAGCCACTCCAGCTTCTTCTCTAGATGTGCCATAATCGCCTCACCCTCTTCCTCTCCTCTGTTACATGTGCCCTCAAACTGGCTCGCAGGTTTGAGAGGAGCTGTTCTAGACCTTGATCTGGCTGCTCAGCTTGCGCATCCAGCACTATGGAGATGATATTCTTGGTGCATTCACCCCCCCCCCTTGAGACGCCTGGAGCCTCCAGAGACCCGGACCCTTGTCATCAGCCGCCGCTGATTTGAGAGTTACTACTGCCGCGAACCAGTGATCCATCAAGCCATAAGGAACCATCTCATGCTTGGCCTCCATGACGCAATTGAGGAGCGAATGCAACAACAAAATTATGTCAAACCTCAAACTCGCCTTTGCAACTCTGGAGAAGAAGGTGTATTCCTTGCGACCCAAGTGTAAAGCGCGGAAGGCATCCTGCAGGTCCCAGGCCGAGAAAATCTGTTGTAGCCGGTGGTTCTCCGCTTGCGTGCCCAACTTGGACGACTTGTCCAGCTCCGGGTCTACAACGAGGTTTAGATCGCCAGGAAGGACTCTGTGTGGGACTACTTCAAGACTCTGCACAAACGATGTCAGCACATCCCAAAAAGAAGTCCCCCTGTTCGACACCTGCGCCGGGAAATAGGCCGCTACGAGCCTACAACTTAGGTTCTACCAGCGCTGCACCAAGCTCAGCAGCTGACCCGATTCATGTTTAACCACATATGTGAACCGCATCTCTTGCAAGAAACTCGGCACCGCCACGCTGCCAGCACTCTGCGATGGTGCGACTACCACTTGAGCCCCCGTTCTTAACTATGTCTATAAATTATGGTCCTTGTAACCCGTGTGTCTATGAGTACTACTAAATCTGCTACTTTCTTAATCCATTTCCGACACCTTACTTACTTTCCACTGCTGCCAATCCCGTTGATGTTGAGCTCAAGAAAGGTGAGTCAGTGTGGTTTACCCATTGAACCGCTTCCTTAAGCCCCACAACATCCACGGGCGATTGGTCCTCATTGCAACAATACAGCTTGCTACAGCAAAAGACAACATGGCTCCAACTACTCCTCTTGCTACCATGACCACTCTCGCCACATCAGCACATTCGATTAGGCGATAGTACAACTTTATGAGTGTCAGACTACTTCTTCCCCTGCTTTGCCGAAAAGTCCTTCTTGAAATCCAACAGGTTATGCGAATGCTTGCTCACACATGTTGCAAATCTTGGCTTTCGCAGCCCCCCCTTTTGCCTGGCATGCAATGTGAGCAGCAGCTTATTCGAAGCGGTTCCCTTGAGCCTTCTCGCACGCCGTCTGGACACATACCCATTCCTCCCGAGAACCCTTGGTGGATGTAAGGACAATAGCCGGGTCCTTCATGATCCGCTTAAGGAGGTCTATGGTTTTAACGATGCCGCTGCGGGAGAAAGTGGGCAACTGGTTGTCAGTATAAAGTGAAGGTAAGAATTTCTCAGACAAGCAATCCGTCGCAAGCATATGGAAACCACCACCCCTTATACAGTTAATCGCAAGCTCTATTTGCTGTCCATTTGCTGAAGTTGTCTTGTCGCACCGTAATATAATGATCATGGTACCGCGTCATGTGCTGACCCCCACTGTAATCACATGTGAGTGAGGGGAAGTGAAGCAGATAGCGCTTTACTGTCGTTGGGTCTTCCACAAAGTACCTCTAGTGGTAACCATCCGCAGCATGCAAGATGACCAAGCCGCGGATGAGTTCGGTGTCCATTCCTGTAACTGGATCAGCAGTGCGGTGAAAACCAAAATCGCTTGCAAAGGCACTCGTATTCAATGGACTGGTTCCAAACGAATTTTGCATCCCTGACTTGGCTGAAGGTGACTTGCAGGCGGTCGTACCACTTGCGGGAAAGATACATCGGCGAAAGCTCGTGGAACTTCGTAGTTTGTGACACATCAGGCGAGAGGGATTCCTTCCAGTTATCCAGCATAGCGGCAACCGACGCCACCACACACGAGACTTCAGCTTTCGTGTCATATGGTACAAGGAGAGTTAGCGAGAATCTCTTAAGAGCAATGACACTTCTGAGCGAATCCAGATACAGGTGCTTGTCGGTGTCATCACTCATGTAACCATCATCCTCATCCTCATATGCAAGATCCAAAACCACATCTTCTTTAGCAGGTTCGTCGTTCTCATCAGCATCCACCTTGTTATCGTCAGCATTGTCAGCTTTCTCCAAAACCGCAGCATCACCATCAGCAGTGTCAGCATTGGTTTCGCCAACGTTTACGTCCTGGCCAACATTTCCTTGCAGATCGATGATGTCTTCAAAAGGACCATTCACACCAGCGGTTGAGCCTGACCCATATGACACCTCCTTAGTCTTAGAACTAGAATGCAACGGAATGTGCGAACTAGGAAATCAAGGGATACAAAGAGCAATCATAAAAGTTTTATAATAGCACAAGACATCGGCCACAAGGCCAGTTCAAGTGTTCACTAGGATATATATAGCAAAGCACAACAAGCAGAGCAAACAATCGGTCTACAGCAACCGAGGGCCTACCTCAACAAGCCCCAACTGCACACAGAACCTGTGGTGGTCACCAGACGCCAAGCCCTTGGTGAAGACGTCGGCAGTGTTGGCCTCTGAGGCCACAAAGTCCAAACGTGCCTGGCCGCGTCGCTGCAACTCTCGCAGGAGGAAGTACCTCATGTCAATATGCTTCACTGTGCTCTCCAGTCGAGGCTCACGACACAGGAGGATCATGGCCTTGTTGACAGCGTACAAGGTCGGTGCAGAGAAAGGCCGCTCACCAAGGTCGGCGAGCAAGAAGGTCAACCAGCGAAGCTCCTGTGCCGCCATGGCACCAGCGTAGATCTCTGCCTCTGCACTGGACGTAGCCACAGACAACGACCGTATAGACCTCCATGACACAGCACCAGCACCCAGACTGAAGTAGTAACCCTGAGTCGAATGCTGAGTCTCCACGTCGTCAGCGTAGGAAGAGTCGCAGTGACTGGTCAAGACAACTGGCTGTATCCCTCCAAGCACAAGCCCCATGCCTGATGTAGTCGCCAGGTACTTCGCCACCCTCACAGCAGCTGTCCAGTGAACAGGATGGTGTCTCCCAGTCGCAACAAAGCGAGAGAGGACGCTGAGGGGAAAGGCGAGGTCCAGGCGAGTACAAGTCATCAGATACATGAGGAAGCCCACAAGCTCTGCGTACGAGCCACTAGACTCAAAGGGCTTGTCGGGAAAAGGGCCAGTGAGTCGGTGGTCAACGGCAAGAGGAGTGAGCTGTGTGGTGGAGAACTGAAACCCGAACCGCCGAAGGACCTGCTGCATCATGTGTGACTGAGTCAGTGTGATGGTGCGAGCAGCTCTGTCCCTGGTGATCTGCAGGCCAAGGTAGCACTGCAGTTCACCGAGGTTAGTGCACTTGTGTCTCTTCTGTAGTTCGGATTTCACCTCAGTCAGATCTGCCCTGTCTGATGTAGCAAAGACCAAGTCGTCGATGTACACTAGTATAAAGAAAGGAGTGGAACCAGTGCGAACAAACAGCGACGGGTCGGCAGAGGAAGGACGAAACCCAAGGTCACGAAGCGTGGAGCGAAGAGTATTGTGCCACTCACGGGGCGACTGGCGGAGACCGTAGACTGGCCGCCTTAGGCTCCACTGGGTCCCAGGTGGGAAGGTGTCAGTGAAGCCAGGAGGACGGTGCAGCCAGATCTCCTCATGTAGGCGGCCCTGGAGAAACGCAGTGGAGAAGTCAAGAGAGTGCAGCTCGTAGTCACGCCGTGCTGCTACGTGCAGTAACACCCGAAGAGTAGTCATCTTCGGGGTCAGGGCGAAGGTCTGGAAGAAGTCAACTCCCTCACACTGACTGAAACCCCTAGCCATGTAGCGCGCCTTGAACACAGGCGGTGAACCAGGCGGCCGCTTCACCTTGAAGAGCCACATGCCATCAACAATGTTCGCCCTGGGAGGGGGAACTGCGTCGACGTACGTGCCTGTGGATCTCCAAGACGCTAACTCTGCATCCATAGCCACTTTCCACTGAGAGGCCCACTTCCCTGACACTGCCTCACGGTACGTGCGAGGTGTCGGTATGTCAAGGGCGTCGGGTTCTCCTTCAAGGGAAAGCAGCATGGCGCAGAGAGAGGGGGAAGCGGCTGCTAAGAACTC